CCCCTTGTGTCTAATACAAATTGGTAAAATGAAGTGTCATCTTATAATGATTGTTTCGTTCGATCTCTTAAATCGATGTAGAGTCTCAACAATCCACCTTTCTTGGAGCCTCAGCGTCCTCGTTGGCACACTACCTCGTGTTTGGCTCTGATACCATTTGTAACAGCCCAAGTCTACTACTAGAAGATATTGTCTGCTTCGTCAGTCTCACGGTTTTAAAAACGTGTTTACTAGGGAGAGGTTTTCTCACCCTTATGATGAATGCTTCGTTCCCTTCTCCAACCATTGTAATAGTTCAAACCCACCGCTAGTAAATATTGTCAGCTTTAGCCCATTACGTATCGCCATCAGCCTTGCGGTTTTTAAAACGTGTCTATTAGGGACAAGTTTTCACACCCTTATAATGAATGCTTTGTTCCCCTCTCCAACCGATATGAGATCTCACACTTATTGGCTGAGTTGTTATGTTTGTATTCATTGATGATAGATACTTTCAAGTTGCTTTCTCAAAATTCTGTTAATTATGATTTTTTGAACCCTAAAACGAATGGTAGTTCCACGTATTGTGTGAGTTTGAGTTTTGTTGAACTACAAGACCAACCCGATTGCGATTTTGGACTTGGCCCCTTCAACTCGGAAGCTAAATTGCCCAAGGTCTATGCTTTTTTGAATCCAACAGTAGTACCCCAACTAAAGAGAATTCTCGGGTATCGTATGAAATCGAGCACAATTTTACACAGAAACAACCTGCCCCGTTTTTCAATAAGAGATATCCGCTAAACTATTGATTATTTATGTATACATTATTTTCCATGTAGGATAGCATTGAAAGAAATGAGATGGTGGGGGGCAATATGGAAATTTCCCAATTATTTTTCTGAAAGATTGGGCCCAGTTAGTGAGCCCAATCCAAAAGTCAGCCCACGCAAGTCTATTAAGGCCCAAACCGGAGCCCATTATCATTGCCAATAGGACGGGCCTCCAATTCCAGGTCCTCTCACGTCAACAAAACATCCCGCTGTAATTCTAGCGTGTCTCACGCGCTGTGCCGCGCGTGTCTCTCAATTTCCTCGTCAATACCTTAACCAGCGCGACCTCAACAAAACGAAATATCACTATATAAATACAGAAATTCCAAAAAGCAATAAATAAATAAATAAAATAAAATAAATTAAGTACAGTCAGAATTCTAAAAACAGCTAGCAATCTTATGCTTCCACTGAGATCTCGCCACGTCAGAATGCAATCCACCGTAGCTCAGTTGCTGTCTTACATGGCAAGATCGTCACCGTTAGTTGGCTCCCTGTTCCACCTAGGAAAACGAGATTTGGAGGGAAAAAGGAAAAATGGGGAATAATAATTTGAGTATTATGCTTGAAAATTAAATGCAAGTAAGGGGAAAAGAAGGAAAAAAAAAAAAAGAAGACTGCAAGTTTTTATAATTGATTTGGTTTTTAATAAAGTGGCGATGACGATCCTTACTAAGAGACTTGTGTCTGATCACTTTCGCACGTCGGAGCATTGAGCGGGCAATTGAAGCGAATTTCCGGTCACGGAGTTCCAGAGCTTTCTGTTGAGGTAAGATTCTTTGTATCTCGTCCACGGTGGGGTTGGGGATTCGGTGTTGCTATTGAGAAAATCTTGCGAAATCGGATCTGTTTGTTTCGGATCTGATAGGGGATAATCGAATTAGGGAGTGTGGTAGATGGATTTTATTAGGTTTGCTGGGCAGTTCAATATGGGTATGGAGGAATTTTTTTTAAGTTAGGGTTCTTGCGTTGGGGGTTGATTCGAATGGAGGACGGCGTGAGATCTGGGGGTCCGTCGGGGGTTTTGGTGAAGACTAGGAACTCGTCTGGTTGCTTAATTGTTAGAAAAAAAGAGGATGGGTTTGGAGGCGCTGGGGCTTCAGGGTCCCGTTTGGTTAATGCAAAGAAGGAGAAGAAGAGGCCTAGGTTGGTTTTGAGTGATTCTGGGTCCAGTGATGAGTTATTGCTGCCCCATCGCAGACGGGTTGGTCCTGAAACCATTCGGGTCTGTAATGGTTTGAATTCTTTTGGGAAGGATGTTATGGACGAGAGTGGAAGTATAAGAAAGAAGGATAGGTTGCAGTACGTTAAGCGGAATGATGATGATTTAATCAACCGGATGGATGTGGATGGTTTACGAAGAAATGTGGAGACCTTAGAGGTTTTTGATTTCAATGAGTACGATGAAATTGACGGTGAGACTCGGCGGAGGAAGATTTTTAATGACAGTGGAGGACAGTTTCTTGGTTCCATGAAACTGCCTCGAAGTGGCATCGACAGGGAATTTGGAACCGCTTCTAGCAGGCATGCTTTGGTGGACAAGAGAAAGAACTTGTATGCAGAGCAAACCGATTGCTTTGATCGGGATAGGCCTCCCCGAAAGATTAGCTTTGAGTCGGATAATGATGGACCTCATCTCCCGACATCCTTGTTGAGAGATAAGTTTAGGGGTCACTCCGAAGAAGCAATCAGGGTTCAGGGGAAAAATGGAGTTTTGAAGGTCCTGGTAAACAAGAAGAAAAATGTGAGTGGATCATCCGAGATGTATGATCATTGCAAATTAGAAGAAGGTAGAAGGAGTCGAAGGACTGAAGATACTCTGAAGTCGAAAGTGACGGTTACACCTTCAGTGTACCCAGAAACTAAGCTGAATGTGAAACAGGATCCCTTTTCTAAGCCAGAGAAAGACCGGACAGATTTTCAAACACCATCATCGACAAAAAACATAAAGGGTTGCAGTTGGGATTCAGGTGACAGTAGTGTGTCATTGAAGCCGAGAAAAAAGGTTGTTGAAGCTCATAAATCTACCAAGAGGGCAAGTTGTGAAGTTGAAAAACTTCCATGTGAAGAGACTCCCCCAAGTACAGCAAAGGAAGGAAAAATAAAACGAGGCAGTGGAACAGAGAAACAAAAGCTACGTGAAAGGATCAGGGGAATGCTCCTTAGTGCGGGCTGGAAAATCGATTACAGACCCAGAAGGAATAGAGATTATTTAGATGCGGTCTATGTTAATCCCAGTGGCACGGCTTATTGGTCAATTATTAAGGCTTATGATGCCCTTCAAAAGCAATTGAATGAAGAAGGTGCAGAGGCTAAGCCTAGTGCTGATGGTTCATTTACGCCAATATCAGATGATATTCTCAGTCAATTAACTAGGAAAACTCGAAAGAAAATTGAGAACGAATGGAAAAATAAGCAGAGAGATGATAGTGACAGTGAAAATGCCAGAGAAGCAAGTGCACTGAGGTCTGCTGGTACAAAAAATGACATGGACAGCATGGACAGTGATAGCAATGAAGAAAAATTAAGCACTTTCGTAAAGCAGGGTGGAAAATCTTGTAAAAATAAATTGAACGAGAATGGGTGTCCCAGTGTCAACTCCAAAGGTCAAAGCTCTGGTAAGTATTCACGTGATACCACTGTAAAATCTTCTTCTGGATCCAATTCACGTATTTTACATGGAAGGAGAGGTAGAAAGCTTGGATTGTTAGTTCGTGGCTCTAATAGGGGACTAGATTCAGAGAATGATGGATTTGTTCCATATACTGGTAAGAGGACTCTGCTTTCCTGGCTTATCGATTCTGGAACTGTGCAGTTGAGCCAAAAGGTCCGGTACATGAACCGCAGACAGACCCGGGTGATGCTGGAGGGGTGGATTACTAGAGACGGTATTCATTGCGGTTGCTGTAGCAAAATCCTCACTGTCTCAAAGTTTGAGATACATGCTGGAAGCAAATTACGTCAACCTTTTCAAAACATCTTTTTGGAGTCTGGGGTTTCGCTTTTGCAGTGCCAGAGAGATGCATGGAATAGACAGGAGGAGTCTAAACGTCTCAGTTTCCACACAGTTGAAGTTGACGGTGATGATCCGAATGACGATACATGTGGCATCTGTGGAGATGGTGGAGACTTGATCTGTTGTGATGGATGTCCATCAACTTTTCATCAGAGTTGTTTAGATATTCAGGTAGAGTAGTTTAGTCATGTTTTTTTTTTTCTGTGTTAGCTATGTAAAGACTTATCCCCATTGATTGCTTATTCCTTTGGTACAGATTCCTCCGGGAGATTGGCACTGCCCAAATTGTACTTGCAAGTATTGTGGAGTTGCCAATGTTGATATTTCTCAGGGAGAAAATACCATTGTTCCTGAAATATCTACTTGTGTGTTATGCGAGAAAAAGTGTATGACTTCAATTTGCTCTCTTTTATTTCTTTCCTCTTCCTCGCTCATCAACTGTGATTATATAATTTTTATTTTGGTTGTTGCTGCAGTTCATGAATCCTGCAGTGCTGAGATGGATACTCCTGTTCAGTCCAATGGTTCAGTCACCTCTTTTTGTGGCAAGAATTGCAGAGAGGTAGCAAAATTTTCATTTTATTTTAGCTCTCAATCTTCTTATAGTATGGCTTTAATTTTGCGCCCGTTATTTGTTATTGTGGATGTTGTGAACAAAGTGGTTGAAGAACTGTGGAGATTATTCAATTTTTCATTAGAATTCAATCACATCATAAGTGAAACACTTATTGCATGAAAGCATTTGTTCCTTTGATGCAGTTATTCTTGGTGCGAAGTCATATGCTTAAAAAATTAAATACTGTTTGCTATTGATGAAAACCACCAAATGATTTATTAAACCCAAATCCAAACAGTCTTTTTCTTTCTTTATCTTTTTCCTTTGACTGACTGACCCAGGAATCGCTTTATGTAGACCTGCACTATACATCTTTGGTGTTAATTAGTTTCATGCAAGCTGTACTTTCAGTAACCAAAAGGTGGACTTTTTTTTTTATTTTTTTTATTTTTAACTACGTAACCTTTGAATTTGTAATCTGTCTGAGAGGTTGCTTTTTTAGTTTGGTCTCGGTACTTGGGGACTTTGCGTGTCTTTGGCTTAGAATAGGAAATGCAGGGCCATGATGGAGGAGGTTCTTCATTTTCCTCTCTTTAGGCAGAAGGGCAAATTTCTTGGCAGGCTTGCTTCTTTGCTGTCGTATGGACAATTTGACTTGAGAGGAATAATAGAGGTTTTAGGAGTGAGCGTTCTGGGGAGGAGTTGTGAGAAGTCACTAGGTTTAATACCTCAATTTGGGCCTCAGTGGTTAAAGTCTTTTGTTATTATCAATTAAGCCTTATTTCCTTGTTCATGTGCCTTCGGGCTACTCCTTATTATGCTTCAATGACCTCAATGTGATAGTGAATACAGGCTTCCACGATCATGCTTTTAGTCTATGCATGCTGGTGACCATGTAGTGTAGTGGTATAAGGTTCCTTAGTTTCCAATTCCGTTAGTGGATGGTTTCCAATTCCGTTAGTGGATGTTTTCTTTGCTTTTAAGCAAAGAACTCTAGCTTCCCACTGAAGTTTTTCACCTGCAGACTAATTATAGTATTTTACAGCTTTTTGAGAATTTGCAGAAGTATCTGGGGGTGAAACATGAATTAGATGCAGGATTCTCATGGTCTCTTATCCGTAGAACAAATGAAGATCCGGATGTATCTGTTCGTGGGCTTTCTCAAAGGATTGAATGCAACTCTAAACTGGCTGTTGCATTAACAGTTATGGATGAATGCTTTTTGCCAATTGTTGACAGGAGGAGTGGGATAAATCTAATTCATAATGTTCTTTACAACTGCGGGTAGGAATTTTTTTTCTTTACATTCAATACTGATATAATTTATTCTCATAATCATAATTTTGATACTTTAGGAGTGCTCTTTCAAATAATAACATCATCATGGAAATAAGCTTGATTTTAATCCATTGTTTCAACTAACAAGATCTTCTAGCTCATTGTGTTGACTGTCGTACTTCGAAATTTCTGACACGTATCATGTTTAACTTTCCAGATCAAACTTCTATAGGCTTAATTATAGTGGCTTCTACACTGCTATTTTGGAAAGGGGTGATGAGATCATCTCTGCAGCGACAATCAGGTATCGTGCATCAGACTTTATCGTGTTGCATCTACGTATTAACTTGGTATTTTGGAGAAGGAAAAAAATTCAAATCGACCATGCTCTGGATAGAAATATTTGCTATGTTTCTAATTCTATACGTGATTGATCGAATGATATAGGAGAGTTCATGTTGTGGCTTTTATATGGTTTGTCTTTAGGAAATTATACTGATCTTGACAGTTGATAGATTGTAGATTGTAGATTGTAGATTGGTTCTAGTTGTATGATTGTGTAACTTTGCAAGTAAAGGACTTCATTAGTAGGAGTCCAGTAATGAAACTAGGTTAGTTATATTAACTTGTGTTTTTGACGATTGGTTCCCAATATATTGATGGTGCTGATCAAGCCCTTGGCTCAAAAAAGAACACTCAAGAAAGAATTGGACCTTTGACAAGAAATATAAAAGTTAGTACATTTTTTCTCCTTAGGTCGTTCTAGCAAGAAAAGAAAGGGTAAAGGAATAGAGAGAGGTTACCCCTTCAATCCGATCCGGGAAGGGAAGGGGGAATACAGGGGAAGGAGCTCCGCTGTGAAACCCTTTGATCCTCTCGCTGCGGGAATTCGACATCCGTTGATGGGCCTTCAATGTCAGTAGGATTTATATGTTGGCTTCTAAATTTGTGGTCAAGTTCAATTAGAAAAAATTATTGCAGAGAATTGATGTGAGGTCTCAGATTGGTTGGAGAGGAGAACAAAGCATTCTTTATAATGGGTGTGGAAACCTCTCCCTAGTAGACGCGTTTTAAAATTGTGAGGAAAAACCTGGAAAGAAAAGCCCGAAGAGGACAATATCTGCTAGCGGTGGGTTCGGGCGGTTACAAATGGTATTAGAGTTAAGACACCGGGTGGTGTGCCAGCGAGGATGCTGGGCCTTAAGGGGGGTGGATTGTGAGATCCCACATTAGTTGGAGAAGAGAGCGAAACATTTATGGGTGTGGAAACCTCTCCCTAGTAGACGCGTTTTAAAACCTTGAGGGGAAGCCTGGAAAGGAAAGCCCGTAAAGGATAATATCTGCTAGCAGTGGGCTTGAGTGGTTAGAAATGGTATCAGAGTCAGACACTAGACAGTGTGTCAGCGAGGACGCTGGCCCCCAAGAGGGGTGGATTGTGAGATCCCACGTTGGTTGGAGAGGAGAATGAAACATTCCTTATAATGGGTGTGGAAACCTCTCCCTAGTACACGTTTTAAAATCTTGAGGGGAAGCCTGGAAAGGAACGCCCAAAGAGGATAATATCGGCTAGCGGTGGGCTTGGGCGGTTACAATTCATGTTCATTTTCTTTTTATTTTTCGTTGGCCTGTTCGTAATTAGTTGTTTTTTTTTTTTATATTGGTGTAGTCGTGTGTCCGTTTAGTGAGTTTTAGGTCGGTATTTATTCTGTTGGTAAAGGTTGCAGACTTCACTTGAAGAAAGTTAACTTTTAGGCATACTTGATGATTTATCTTGTAGGATTTGATATCTTCTAATCATATAGTTTGTGGAGGAAGATACCGCTATAAAATGGTTATCTGATGTTTTTTTTGGTTGAATGGTCCAGTTTTGATGCTTGCTTGGGCAGTAAGGTTTTGCTGATATGTTCTATCTTTTGTATGGTTAGGTTTCATGGCACTAAGTTAGCCGAGATGCCATTCATCGGAACCCGCCATATATATAGACGTCAAGGAATGTGCCGTCGGCTTTTTTGCGCGATCGAATCTGTAAGTTACACAAAAGATGTTAATCTCTTCCTATTTGTTGATAGACTTCAATGGCTGCAACATTTATCGAGTTTTCTTCTATTTAGGCTCTCCGCACGCTTAAGGTTGAGAAACTGATTATACCAGCAATCGCCGAGCTGATGCATACATGGAATGTGATTTTTGGCTTTAGTTCTTTGGAGCCATCACTCAAACAAGAAATGAGATTGATGAACATGTTGGTGTTCCCTGGAACAGATATGTTACAGAAGTTGTTAATCCAAGAGTCAATTGTTGAGGAGAATCCGTCTACTGGCTCAGGTGCAAAGCGAACGGATTGTAGAAGTACTGAGTTTAGTAGTCCTAAGATTGATACAGAGACCTCGTCTGGCCACGAACCTCGAAGTTGTGATGACACCGAACAGCATCACTTTAAGGCGAAAACAAATGAAGTTGCTGTCACTAATCTGAATCCTGAATCCGTATCTGTTTCTCTAAATGATACTTCTACTGCTAATAGTCCTCTGGATGCATTTTGTGAAGCTAAAACGCCATGTTCTCCTATGCAAACCGTAACTTCGGATTCTGATTCCGATGATAAGCCTGGAATTCGGCATGGTTTAGAGGATCGTTCGCAGTCGACTTCCCAATGTATGGCAGCTGATACGTCTTTGAACAATTTTCTTGAACCTAAGGTCAAGGTTTCAAATGAAGGAATCATTTGTTCCAACGCTCATGCTGGGCACAAGTTGGCCGACTCCGTTTACGTGAGGAAATCTTTTTCTCCTACTACAGGCAATGGCACGTTTGAGCTCGAAAACAACATACCCGTAATGGATTCTCCTGAAGACGATGCACATGCTAATTCTCTTAAACCTACTCGACCCTTCGAAACTACATCGGATTGCAAAAATGCAATAGCTTATGTGAAAGAAGCTATTTCTGATGGAATTTGTGGCAGTGAAAGTTCTCCACAGTCGTGTGGGGCAAAAGCCAGAGGTGGTCTTCAGGAAGAGAGAGCTGAATCTGGTTCAGTTTGACAAATTGCCTCCACGTTGATGTTTCATCTCCTAATTATATGGGTTGTTTCTCATGCAATCACTTTGCTGGTTGTGCTGGGCTCACAGAGGAGCCCTTGATGGAAGTAGCATGGTTCTATTCACTGCCTATCTCTTCTGGAATTGCTGCTCAAACACGAGCTCGTTCATCGTTCTGACTGGCTTGTCGGAAGCTCAGACTTCACGGTATGGACGACATATTTTCTAGAAATGGAGCATTTCCATTCTTGATCAAAGACATCATATGGTTCCAGCACCGGTTTGCCTCGAACGTATCTGTTACCTGCTGCTCAGCCGAATTGTATGACGTTTTCGAGTTCTCGAGGGTTTGTTGGTGGAGTATATTGATATTGATTCGTTCGTTTAACTCGTAAGATCGTTATGAATGACCAACCTCGTACTGTATAGAAGGGTGTTTTCTGAAATCTCCAAGCTTGTCACACCTCATTTTGTTTTGAATTTTTGCTGCTGTCTGTAATGGGCATCTCGTCTAATTTTGAGCATTTTCTGGGAAGCTTCTGCCTATCATGAGAGCTTAGGGTAAAAAGATATAGTTTTTAGGAAGAGTTAGAAATGGGGAAGCCATTGTTTGCTGCTAATTGTTGTCATTGGAATCACTTCTTTTATGAAGAAGATGAAATTGTAATTATATAGTTTTAAGCTTTTGTTCCTCATTTTAGATCATTAACTTTTTCCATTTCCTTTGTAAGTGATTGATTTAGTTCCTTAAACAAAATTTTTTTTAGATGCCATCCAATAGTCCGCCCCTACTCGAACAAAGTTCATGCTAATTCAAATCGTCCCTGAGCTCCGTATGACAGTGGAGAATTTTCTTAGCATGAGTTTTTCAAATCGCCCCTGAACAGTGAAAATTCTCCACATTCGTGCTTTTCGTAGGCTAACTCGAGGTCAGTGTGGCAGTCTCTTGATCGATTTTGTAGGATTAGCTAATTCAAATCGCCCCTGAGCTCAGTGCTCATATTGGGGGACTAAAGAGGGCATAGCCATGGACACTTGCTGCTTCTACAAAAATGGGAAGCTATCAAAATAAATTTTAAACCTAATATATATATATATATATATAAAAAGCCCTAAACCAAAAAAAGAAAAAGAGGAGAAAAGAAAAAGATTTTTTTTTTTCTTTTAAAATCTCAAAATTTTTAATAATTTTTTTGTATTTTTTTGCATTTTCAATTTTGCCCTAAAAATCTTTTTCTTATTTTTTTTAATGTAATTAATTTTTCCATAAATCCTAATAGTTTGAAGATTGACTTTCTTTAATTTTTTTGTTTTTTTTTAATATAATTTAGAAATTAAAAAAAAAAAAAAAAAAAAAAATCCAAGCCCAAATGTCGACCTACTTAGTTGAAGTAGTTTGTTTACAGCCAATCTAAACCCACTGTGATGGAGCTTTCTTCATCTCCCCGCCTCCTAAGCTCTCCCACTTCGCTGATCCTACTGAAACCCAAGGTTGGGTTTAGGGTTCCTCAGATTTCTTCCTCTCCCTTCCATTTTCACCCTTCTGTTTCATCTCTTAAACTCATTGGTAGAATGGAATTTAATAGGACAGTATGTTGTGCTTCTTCATCTGAAGGAAACGGCTCTCCGATGGTCCCTTCTTCAGGTTGAGTCTGAACCCATTTTTTGATGAATAACCATTGATTTTCTTCATAAGTTTTCTGATATTCGTTCTATTTGAAATTTCAGGGTCTCGAGTGGGCGAAGTCAAAAGGGTCACCAAGGAAACAAATGTATCTGTCAAGATAAACCTGGATGGTTCTGGGATTGCGGATAGTAATACCGGGATTCCATTTCTTGATCATATGTTAGATGTAAGTGGTTCCAGAATTGTCTTTTGCTTTGAAGAAACTATGAAGTGAATGCTCTGCGTTCAATGTACGCTCAATGGTTGTATTGTTTGGTTGAAAATAACCCGTCCTTGCTGACTGCAATTGATTGTTTTTAGCTTCTCCTATCTGAAATTTAGATGGTATGGGTAGGATTTTGCCTGTCCAAACTTGGTTGAGGAATATTTTATTTGTTCTAAAAGAAATTATTTGTTCTTGTTAGCAACTTTCTTCACATGGGGTTTTTGATGTGCACGTAAGGGCCACGGGAGACATCCACATTGATGATCACCACACTAATGAAGATGTTGCCCTTGCCATTGGATCGGTATTGTACAACTTATTATAGAAGTTTAAGTTGTAATTGTTCAGATTGTTGTATTGTATGACTGGAGATATTTTCTGTGTTCATCCATGTCTATTAGAGTTTTTAAGAAGTTTTCTATGGCTTATGAACTGGTCCAGTTTCAAAATTTCAGGAAAAACTCGATTTCTCAGCTCCATTGTCTATTTACTATTGCAAATTAATTCGTTAGATCTTCTTGCTCTGTAGGCTTTGCTGAATGCACTTGGTGATCGGAAAGGAATTTATCGGTTTGGAGACTTCTCGGCTCCTCTTGATGAAGCACTTATCCATGTCTCACTAGTATGATCCGTGTGATATTCATTTTTATGCTTCCATATTTTTGATGTTAACAAAGACGATTAGATCTTTTGTAACAGCCCAAGCCCACCGCTATCAGATATTATTCTACTTGGGCTTTCCCCTCTAGGTTTTTAAACCGCGTTCACTAGGGAGAGGTTTCCACGCCCTTATGATCGAATGTTTCATTCCCCTCTCCAACCAATGTGGGATCTCACAATCCACCCCCTTGGGGGCTTAATGTCCTTGCTGGCACACCGCCCGGTGTCTGGCTCTGATACCATTTGTAACAGCCCAAGCCCACCGCTAGCAAATATTGTCCTCTTTGGGCTTTCCATTCTGGGCTTCCCTTCAAGGTTTTTAAAACGCGTCACTAGGGAGAGGTTTTCACACCTTTATAAAAAAGGTCTCGTTCTCTCCAACCGACGTGAGATCTCACATCTTTTATCAATGGAAATTATAATTGTCTCCAGCTGGGAACTAATCTTCAATTCCATTAAATGTCTCACTTGTCAAGTCCCATAGTTTAGGGAGGCTTACAATTTGAGCTGTCTGTAAATCATTTAGAGCAGGAAAACTTGTTCTAACTTTCCAAACTTAGGGGTTAGGAGGGTTGAGATCTCTTAAGATCTCCTAAAGATTAAAATTTTTAATTTGTACTTATTCTGATCTTTCAAGTATTCATTATGCGTTTGATTTCTTTTTATTCATTCTGCATTCTAGTGACTTAGGTTGAAGTTATATACAGGATTTATCTGGCCGGCCACATTTGAGTTATGATCTACAGATACCTACAGAGAGAGTTGGCACATATGACACCCAGGTGTTCTAAACATCTCTTTTTTTTCATTTATGATTTCATGCCATCATCTTAGTAAACCCATTGCAGAATAGTTCTTTACTTCTGTTTTTCTGATATAATAGTTGGTGGAGCATTTCTTCCAGTCTCTGGTGAATACTTCTGGTATGACTCTTCACATTCGACAGGTAAAAATTTTGGAGCAGTTTTTGTTGTATTTACAATGATGTTTTTGAAAGATTTTTTGTAACGGCCCAAGCCCACCACTAGCAGATACTGTCTTCTTTGGGCTCTTCCTTTCGGGTTTTCCCTCAATGTTTTTAAAACGCGTCTGCTAGGGAGAGGTTTCTACACCCTTATAAAGAATGTTTCGTTCTCCTCTCCAATTGATGTGAGATCTCATGGTTTTAGTGTGAGCCAAGTCTTTTATCTTCTTAGTCAGGCTAATGATTTTCTGCTTATTACAGTAGCTACATTGGTCGTTGAGTTATTGTACATAACTTTTGTTCTAATTTCACTTTATTCCAAAACCAATCTGTTGATGAACAGCTTGCTGGAAAGAATTCTCATCATATTATTGAAGCTACGTTCAAAGCATTTGCCAGGGCTCTTAGACAAGCAACCGAGTATGACCCACGCCGTCTTGGCACTGTGCCCAGGTATGCTATCTTACTTGTCTTTTCTTTCTTGTATTTGGAGAATCAACTGGGTTAATTCTGACATGCCATGACAATGTTCGTATTGTTCGGTCTACAGTTCAAAAGGTGTTCTATCACGTACCTGATTGTTGTCATCGACATGGCAAGATAAACTTGTGCCTTAATACGGAAAGGTATCGTCTTTCTTGCCTTACTCTGTTGTGAGTCTGACCATGGTGATCATTTAAAGTGACATTCTTTACTTTACTTAGTGATGATTGATTGGAGCAATGCTTCGAACGCTTGCGTCGGTCCTGTTTGGTGATGGATGTTTGAGCAGGAAGATGATGGCAGAAAGATTCTTGTAGGATTGATGATCGAACATTATTGTATATGAAAATAACTTGTTCTTCAGCTTGAATCATTTTTGTCATATATCACTGTTGTAATAATGTTTATGCATCTGATAATTGATGCCTTCTATTGAATTATGGTTGAATAACAAGGCTCAAATTACCGTGGCTGAAAATTTGATATGTTCTATTCACTCCAATCTGATATTTTGAATTATTTCTCAATGGGTAGAGGAAATAATTACAGAAAGTTCAAAATTGTAGGCTGAAAATTGTGTTTATGCTCAAAGTAAACAATATTATATCATTGTGGAGGGTCGTGATTCCTAACATGTTATCATAGCTATGTCCCATGTGTAGAACAAAGAAGTTGTGAGCCTCAAAAGTGACTCAAGTGTCGAACAAAGGGTGTACCTTGTTCAAGGCTCCAGAGAAAGGAGTCGAGCCTCGATTAAGGGGAGACCATTCGACTCTATGGTGTACTTTATTCGAGGGGAGGATTGTTGAAAATTGTTGGGAGAGGAGTCCTGTCGGTTTAATAAATTAAGGGTTGATCATGGATTTATAAGTAAGGAATACATTTCTATCAATATGAGGTCTTTTAGAGAAATCGAAAGCAAATCTATGGTTGTTTAAAGTGGAAAATATCATACCATTGTGGAGATCGGTCGTGATTCCTAACATGCTACATACCTCAAAAAATATTAATCTAGAGCTCAAATGCTCATCAATTACAAGAATTCTTCAGCCTTATCCAAATCATTCAGTATATCAGATTTAACATCTTCCGGCAATGGTGCAGATGGCCCAGCCTTTGCATAAAAACCTGCCAATGACCTTATTGCTTTCTCTAGCACAGCGTAAGATTCCTGCATGTGAGTAAGTGAAAATGTTATTATAGATTCATTACGATCATCATGAACTACAATGTCTATTTTTCACTTGATAAGATACCTCTTGAACAACTGCTTGTTGCCCCAACCAATTGCCTAAATAGTCTCTAATGGATTCTTTTGCAGCATCTGCAGTTCGTCTAAATTTAGCACCATCCTTGGAGTCTTCCTGTAATGACTCACGCAGCGTCTTCACCACCTCCCTTGCTGACTTCAGGTAAGCCTTGGGCAATACCTTCCCAGATTTGGTTCTCTCATTTGGATCGAATATTGATTTGATCGTCCCGATGACTCCATTTTCCTCTTCCTCCTTGTCATTTGGCATTTCTTCGGCCCGAGCCAACAATGGTGTCAATGCATTGTTGAACGTGAGAAAGGCAACAAATGACATGCCATTACACAATAAATCACGCCTACAAAGTTCTTGAGATGGTAGCACAACTTGAGACCTGGATCGCAGTTTATCTGTTATGTTGCATGAAAGACAGTCAAGAATAAACTCGTGTTTAGATGCCTTCAGGTTCAAGCAAGTATGATTGTTATTTAGTCCCTAAACTTTCCTAGAAGTAACGATTTAGTCCTTAAGTTTTAGCATGTAACAATTACAACAACTTAATTTCTATAGTTTATAAACAAATTTGATCCCTAATCAATTTATCCGGATAAAATTACTATCCAATGTTAGTTGTTTCCTAGCATGAGATGTGTTAACTGAGAAAATGAAAGTGCAATTATATTTCACAACGCTGCAGATTCAACACAGGAGCTTAATTTATGGCTACAGGTAATGTTACTTACGCCCATTTTCACTTGAGATTCTATCCAACGTTGAAATAGTTGCAGGGCAGATCTTCGCTTGAATAAATGCAGTCATCTTCGTTCTTGATTATCACTCCAGCCAAGTTGAGCCGCTATACACCTGCTTCATCCCCCAGCAATTCCCCTGCAGGAAACAACGCATTATTCTGTTTAATCGTAGGTTAATCATGAAACAAAGCTTCCCATTACGCGAAGTGCTTGCCGTAGATTCTATTCGTCAATTGAATGCCGAATTTGCGATGGAAACAAACAACCATAGTGAATTCAACCAGAAATTAAACAGAAATGAGGCATCCATCGACCTGAAGCCGTGCGGAAATGGAGTGTGTTGCATAAGCAAACGGAGAAGAAGCTGGCGTCTTAGTTCATACCTAATCGTTAACTTTGTGCCGGCATTGTACGAAGTTGCGCACCAGCGAAGAATCGGTGGAAGAAAAATGTTACAAATGAATTGAAAGAGGATGAATTTGGGTTTGGAAATGAACTTCGAGTTCTTACTTGTGGATATGCAGAGAGCGGCTTCGCGTCAATCTCTTGGTACAGAGCGAATTGGGATTTGGGCAAGGAACCGGCATTATCGGTAACAGTCCAGCCTCATAAGCAATGCCTTTGTTCTCTTCTTCCTTTATGTGATTTTACTGTCCACTTCACTTGGTGTGATTTTACTTTACTGTCTTCACATCCGGCGTCCTTATTGGCACACCGTTTAGTATCTAATTTTGATATTATTTGTAACGGTGTAACAGTCTAACTCTATTGTTTACCGGTATTGTCAGCTTCGACCCATTACATATCTTTATTAGTCTAACAATTTTAAAACGCGTGTGTTTGGGAGCGGTAAACTTGAGTTGTTACATATTTACTGTGATGAGTGTTTTCTTATTCAAATTGGAATGAAATTAGTCGGATATTAAATATTAAAGCTAAATTTTTACTTAGTATATTAATTTAAATTTATGAAAAATTTAATATTATAATAATTATTTATTAAAATAGCTTTGAATTAGTTATAATTGTAGAGATTTAGACGTTTAATTAGTCTAATTTATTGAAATTGAAAATTGAGATAAAAAGGAAAATAAAATTGGGCTCATTCTTTTTTCTTGCCGGAAATATCGTTATGAATTAAAAAAAAAGAAAAAAAAAAAGATTTACTGCAGGTGGGACCGAGAAGTAGAGAATAAAATCCCCATTCACCGTTCACCGCTCCCGTTCACCGTTCCGAACCCATAACGGCGATTTTCTGATTTATCACTCTTTAACCTCAGGCGGCTCCGCCCGCTTCTACAGCAGTCATGGCCGGAGGTAGCAATACCACCAGGTCGTCTCAGAAGCCTTCTTCTGCTTCCGCCGCTCCTTCCAACCGGAAATCCCGCTGGGAGTCCTCCACCAACAATCCTCCGGCCGATCCCAAATCCGACTCTAAATCTTCCAAACCCTATAATCCTTCCTCGAAATCTACAATCAGTCCCAATTCCACTCATCCTAAGCATTCTGCCGACAAGACTGTTAATCCAACTCCGGCCTCGGCTCCACTTCCGTCTCCTGGCGTTCCACTTCCCTTTCCCGACCCCTCGGCTCTTGGCCCACCACCTCCACCGTCTTATGGATTCCACATGCTTGAACGCCGCACGATTGTTCTTGCGGATGGCAGTGTACGGTCGTACTTTGCTCTCCCTCTCGACTACAAAGATTTTACTCCGCCTGCAAGGTCCATGGATCTCGCTGGTCGGTTTTTACCTATGGGGTCTGGTGGTCCTGGACCTGGTCACGAATATGGTGGATTTGATCATCGGTTTCCCCCAGGTGGCCCTATGAGCCCAGATGAGTTTAGGGGTGTTCGGGAAGAACAATTTGCGCGTGCTAGGCCTCAAGATCACTGGAATTCTCGAGGGACTAACGAGCGTGGTGGCCCTGCAGAATCGTCGTTGAAAAGGAAATTCAATGACGATAATGAGAAGGACAGGAAAGATGAGAAAGACGAATTATCCAGGCGACAGCAGCAATTTTTACACAATGGGAATGCAAATGGGTTCCTTACGGGTTTCGGCGAACGACGGGGTGATTTTTTGGCGGGAACTAGTGATCCATATGGTCTAACAGAGGATATGAGGTTCTCGAAGTACATGCGAGATGGCGGGAGTTATGTAAATGAAGGTTTGAGGCTAGGTAGCGGTAACAACGTTGCTCCTAAATATTTCGAAGTTGACCAGAATGCATTGAGAAAGGCATTTCTTCATTTTGTGAAAACTATCTACGAAAACGCTAATCAGAAGAAGAATTATTTGGAGGATGGGAAGCTCGGGCGTCTTCAATGTCTTGCTTGTGCAAGGTTTGATGCCGCCGGATTCTTTGTGCTTTCTCTCTTTGTTTTGCACTATTTCTATATAATGCTTATGAATAATGCTTCTTTCAGTGCATCCGGGTTAGTTAATAAATTGCTATGTTTGTTTGCAACTGTCTGTTGTGATTGAGAAGGAAGTGAATGCGTAAAGTTTAGGCTTCTTGATTGCTTGCCCTGATAATTATGTTTCTGCTGCTGCTGTTTCTTTTAAGTATGCTGGTAAAAATGAGTATGGACAGTGACTTGCTGTTGAGTGTCGGAGCCTATGGTTTGTCGGACTTTTCCTCCTATGCCTTCTCCCACCAAGTGTGATCAAAATAGGGGTCAAATATTATGCGTTCATTGTACGTTTTGTAATTTTGGATTTGAAATTTTTAACTGAATTGACGAGAAGAAGGGAAGAGGTAAAATGGAAGGGTAAGGAGAACCATACTCCCTTTTAGAATCTTTTCCCTGCATCTATTTCAAATATATTTAACTGTTTGCACTTGCTGTTGTTGTGACCAAGAATGAGATGAATGCATACGCTGCCCTTTCCTTAAAACATGTTTCTATGCTGCTGCTTTTCCTTATGAGTGTTGTGGAAAAAGCATTTGAGGAAAGTATGGATGCCGTCGTTGATTGTTGAGTGGCCAATGGTTTTTTTGTGCTCTCCTCCTATGCTATTCTTCTTCATATTGCGTAATATAGGGTTGTGGTGTAAGTGGCGTGGTCGGTCATCAAGTTCAATGCCTCTCTTTGGCATTTGCAATGACCCGATTTTCCACACATGTACCGGTATAAGTTGTTACTTAAAAACTAGCAATTTTATCATTTAAAATCAATTGAAAGATGCAAAAATAGATGAGAGAAATTTAGGATGCATGTTGGTGGAGAAGATGGTTATGGAGCAACTCTGGAGTTTTTTATGTATGCTTTATTTGAATCACTTCTGTTTGAATTGGTTCTATGGATTTGATTTGTAGTAGAAAAACTCCTAGGTTGTGGGGACTAGAGAGATTGAAATGGTGCTTTTCAATTGGTATTAGGATTGTTGAATTATTTTGGTTAACCCACATGCACCCTAAAGTTCTTTTAAAGGTACCCCAAACATGTTTTCTCTCATATATTTTTGCGTTCTTTTAATTGATTTTAAATTATAAAATTGTAAGCTTTTTAAGTAGCTTTGATTTTTACATGTATAGAATGTCGGGTCTGTTGAGGATTATTGGAATTGGGAGTGTCCCACATTGGTTAATTTAGTGGAAGATCATGGGTTTATAAGTGAGGAATACTATCTCCATTGGTATGAGGCCTTTTGGGGAAGCCCAAAGCAAAGCCATGAGAGCTTATGCTCAAAGTGGACAATATCATACCATTGTGGAGAGTTGTGATTCCTAACAGGGTCGTTACAAGTGACATCAAAGCAGTGCCTCTTCCAATAGGATATGGTTCGAGGACAAACCAATGTAGAAGCGGGTGGGCATGTGACAATCGAGTGAAAGAGAGTTACATGAATGGACTGAAACCACATTCGTCTGAGAGTGGTCTTGAGGAATGATTGAGAAAGACTTTAAAAGGATTGAATTTACTACCTATACTAACAAGATACACTATCTGTTTCGGTTAAATATGTTTTGTTTGGAGTAATTCTATGTTGGGTGACCTTTTAGGAAGTATATGAGTGAGAACAAAGCATGTAAAAAAGACCCATATTGGTTTTGGGATAGTAGTTCACCTCTTAGAAGCAACAAACAGGTAATGTGGTTATGTGGTTATGTTGCAGGGGAATGTTGGACCGTAGGTCCTGATCTAGATTCCAATTTGTGATCCAAATCCTAGGCTTGTGTAACATCAATCTCAGAGGATTTTTTGTATTTTTTTTTCCGTTAGGCTTAGTCATCTTGGATTATACCTTTTTTGCATAATTAGTTAGTCTTGACTTTGTTTTGGCTTCTTTTGGCATGCTGTTTTTTTTTTTTTTTTTTTTTTTGTGCTTTTTTTTATTTTTTTTTTGACAACTCATCTCNCTCTTTTTAATGTAAAACAAAGATGGTTTGTGCAAAACACTACCCCAAACCGGCATATTGGGGTAGGATAATCAATTTTGAAACTAATTTCTTAATAATTAGATCGAATTGGATTGACCAACCCATTTATTTCTGGGGTTTATACATTAGACAACAGTATATTTCATTGACTGGAGGGACTTAAGCATATTTTTGTTTTCTAACTGATGTGAATGCTGGGAATGCTTTTGCACAGTTTGTGTAATTACCGCAAACATACTCTTCTTGCGGTTTCTGGCTATTCCTAGAAGGGTTTTCAGTGAAAGTTTAGAGTCTTGTTGATAAGATACGGTTTTGGTCTGTCTTTCCTTTTTTCCTCATCTTTTTAATTCCTTTATATGAGTTCTCAATGTGATGCAATAATAATTGGTTATGTGATGCTACTTTTCTTCGAGTAGGGTCGTTTTAGGTTTTTTTCCCCTGTTTTTTTCTATTTTTTATTCCACTGTATTAGTATTTTTCTTTTGTTTAGTTATCTTTGTTTTTTTTCTTTTTTTTTTTTTGGGAGAATATGGTTGCATCACTGGACAAGTTCTGTAACCCTGTAACTTCAGATATTTTTTATTATTTTCATTGCAATATGGATTCACCTTTGATATCGTGCTTTGGTATAGACGTGGTCTTTTTAAACCATGTGATACAGTTTGATGGCTTGTTCAGATGAAATTACTTCCTTGTTTCCAACCTGTGGTTTTAGGGCATGGTGTACCATCAAAAGATGTATTTAAAAAAAATTTGTTGGCTGTATGGAGTGAACTAGCTGGTTATATATCGTCGAAGATCTCGTACCTTTAACTTCTTCTTATGTAGTTAATAAGGGTAAAATAGTTTGCATTAGCTACTGCTTTGTTGGTAAATGTTTGTTAGGCTCTAATCCCAGCCTGTAAATGGGATATTTGTACACTGTAGTTGACTTGATGTTGTAATCATAATCAATGAAAGAGACTTGTTTAGCATATTTTATGAAGCTTCGATTCCTGCCTATTTCAATTTGAAGTGTATGTGGAATCAGATGGCCAAATGGGCTGCTTTGATGTGATTGAGGTGGGAAGTTTCTCATTGAATGAATAATTTCTTCACTTCTAGAGTCTGGTTATGTGACAATCCAAGCCATTTAACTTGCAAGTCTTTACTTTTTGAAATTACCGAGAGAATGTGATAGATCCTACCTTTTTATGCCCACTGTTAAAAAGAAAAAAAAAACATCTCTTATGAGGTGTCAATGTTTAGGATAGTGGCAGACATGATGATTGTACGTGCCTGTTCTTTGCTCCGGGAACGAACTAGTTCATTACTTGTTTCCTTGGTGTCATTCCTCCTTATGTTTATGGAGGTCTGTTTTGAGTAGTTTTAGCTTACCCATCGTTACCTTAGAAACTTAAAAAGATTTGCTTGATCTTCCTTTTGGGAGCATTATCGCATTTGTCTTATCAGTTGGGCTTCCTGTTGGAAGGACTCGTTTCTTTTAAAGAATTGTATTCCTTGGATTAAATGCCTTACAACTTTGAGATTTCTTGGCAACCAAAGATCTCAAGGTCAATTAGTTGTCTCGTGAGAATAGTTGGGTTACTTAAAAGCTAGCTCAGACGCTCAATTGGTATTCCTACAAAAAAAAAGCAAAGCTCGTTCAGTACAAACTTTGTTAGTTGCATTTGCTATTTAAATGGTGTACCTGTTCTTTTATTGGTATGCTCCTTATAATGTATTCCTATGGGCTACCAACCATGCGAATATGAACCTTGTTATCAATCATTGGTCCCAATTATTGTGCCTGCCTGTTCGTTAATAAACTGCTTCTCATCTGAAAAGTATGTTTGAATTCCCAATAGTGTGGAAGAAACCCCTTGAAACACAGAGACCATAAATTTTAGGTATTTTGTTATTGAGTTCCTTTCAAAATGAAATCGAATGAATTTAAAGAATCTTAAGTCATGGAGGAAGCATCTATGATGCTCTCAGTGACCAAGATCCTTCACCAATGACATCGCAAATGTTGACGTGGATAAATTTGGTGACAGGAGAACCTGAGATGGAAAAAGTTTGCATCTTCTGTTATTTATCTAGATTGAATCTTCCATTTCTGTTTGGGATTATGAAGCTGGAACTACTGCAGTTGAAAAGTGATTGTTGGTTTGATGTTAACCCTTTTAAACCAGCAGTTTTGAGACCTAATTTATGTTCGATGAAGATTTTATAGTTTGTAGTGTAATTGATGCATGTTTTCTGTGCTAGATGATGCTGTTTGCATTTTTGGAGTCTTCGTTTCCACCCACAACTTACCATTATGAGTGGTGTTTACCACTTATTCCCATTTTGGTTCAAATTTATAGGCTTATATAATAGTGTGAACCTATTAAAAAATCATTCTTTGGGCCTCTAAAGAACGTTGCCCCCTCCTTCACATGCTTACTTACAGGTCCTCTAGAGATTTTCCAGATATGCATGGCCTTATTATGCACACATACAACTCTGATAGTGCTGACTCGCAAGTGGATCATTTGGGTTTACACAAAGCTCTTTGTGTATTAATGGGGTGGAACTACTCAAAGCCTCCTGATAATTCAAGAGGGTACCGTTTTCTATCTGCTGACGAAGCAACAGCTAACCAGGAGGATTTGATTATGTGGCCTCCTCTAGTTATCATCCACAATACAATTACTGGAAAGAGTAAAGATGGGCGCATGGAGGGTTTGGGAAACAAGGCAATGGATAGTAAAATTAGAGGTATCATGCACTTTTTTACATTTCTTTATCCTTCATTGATGCTTGAGTAGATTTACCTCCTTCTAGGTAGAATAAGGTCTCTAATCAACTAGGCCATACTGCACCTACAACTTTACTATCTACAACTTCATTTAGAAGAACATAAAACATCCCTGGAATTTCTCAAGTCTGTCACAGATGACTATCTGTGTCAGGCTATAAATTTAGAATGCGGAGTAATTTAATGATCTTTTAGTTGCTGATGAGAACCATAGTTATATTTATCGTATTTTCTTAGTTGATGAACCTAAAGTTACAATTTCTGAATCTTCCATGAATGAGTTGATGGCACACGTGGAACCTTATACTCATTCTGGTATTGTCTTGTTTTAATGTTAGTAAATCTGTTTCAAAGCCAATTGGAAGGGATTTTTTTTTAACACTTATGCTCAAGGAGGACACCTTATCCTCCCTCTTTCCTAGTATTCTTTCTGGACGAAATCTCACTTATTGATAGAATGCGAATGAAGCTGTTCTCTTTTCTCCAGTTGATTATGTTCAAGTATTTATAGGGAGGAGGGGCTGCACTGGACAAGTTCTTTTTTTCCCCCTAAAAAAAAAAAAATCTTTTAATAATTTATGTATCAGGTCTCCTCTCTCACCCTCACCCCCCCCCCCCCC